AATTCCAACATCCCCTTATCCTTATCACCATATCCTGGCCCATACATTTGGTAGAAGGCCTCTGCTCTAACAGTGGCATACTTAGACCCAAAACCCCAGAACTCCTGCTAGATCAGATACCATATCAGCTGCCAGAACTCCAGGCCCCAACATGGGTGGAAGCACCATGATTGACAAGGTTCTACCCCAGCCATCAGAAGTCCAGTTCCCAACTTTGACAGAGGTCCTCTATTCAGCTACAGGCCACACCTGCCAGAAGTCTAGAGAGGAAACAGAAATCAGGAACAAAAGGCACCTTCATTAAAGACAATCTCAGAAATCAGCACCTAGACCTATAATCACCCCAAATCCAGATGCCTAGATATCAGTAGAAGAACACAATCAACAGAAGTCAGTGCAATGTTATCACCAGAGCTCAACAATCCTACTATAGCAAGCCCTGAGTATTCCAACACAGCTGAAGCACAAGTCAAAAACAAATTCATAATGATGATGGAGGTACTTAAAGAGGAAATGGATACATCTCTTGTAAAGAGAGCAAATAAAATGAAGAGTTTAAGAAAACCGATAAAACTGTTCAAGACATGAAATTTCAATAGAAGCAAATAAAGCAAATTGTGAGGAAAATCTGGAAAAGAAGTGAACAACAACTACAGAAGCAAGCATCACCAATGTAATAAAAGAGACAGAAGAAAGTATCTCAGGTGTGAAAGGCAGTACCCATAAAACCCAAACCAAACAAAAGATTCAAAAAAGAATGAGAATTACAGACCAATTTCCTTCATGAACATGGATAAAAAAATACTCAATAAAATAATTGCAAACCAAATCCAAGAACATATAAAAAGATCATATATCATGATAAGTAGTCTTCATCCCAAAGATGCAGGAATGGTTCAACTTATTTAAATCTGTCAATGTAATCCACCAAACTGAAAGTAAGAAAACACAAGATCATCTCAGTAGATGCTGGAAAAGCCATTGACAAAATTCAATGTCTCTAGGGATAAATACTGATCTACTGCCACAGGTCCCGTAGATTTCCCAGGCCTCCTAACTGACACCCATGATCAGGGGGTCTGGGTCGGTCCAATGCTGGTTTCCCAGCTATAGTCTGGGGTCCCTGAGCTCCCCCTGTTTAGGTCAGCTGTTTCTGTGGGTTTCTCCAGCCTGTTCTTGACCCCTTTGCTCCTCACTCCTCCCTCTCTACAACTGGATTCCAGGAGTTCAGTTCAGTGTTTAGCTGTGGGTGTCTGCTTCTGCTTCCATCAGCTACTCAATAAAAGTTCTAGGATGGCATATAAGTTAGTCATCAATCTCATTATAAGGGAAGGGTATTTAAGGTAGCCTTTCCACTATTGCTTAGATTGCTAGTTGCTGTCATCCTTGTAGATCTCTGGACATTTCCATAGTGCCAGATTTCTCTTTAAACCTATAATGTCACCCTCTATTATGACATCTCTTTTCTTGTTCTCCTCTATTCTTCCTCAGACTTAAACTTTCTGCTTCCTGATGTCCTCCTCTCTCCTTCTCTTCTCCCCTTCTCTTTCTCCTAAATCCCTCTCCCCTCCCCACATGGTCCCCATTTGCTCAGGAAATCTTGTCCCTTTCCCCTTATCCAGGGGATCATGCATGTATCTCTTAGGGTCCTCCTTGTTCCCTAGTTTTTCTGGTGGTGTGGATTGTAGGCTGGTAATCCTTTGCTCTATGTCTAAAATCCATATATGAGTGAGTACGTACCATGTTTGTCTTTTTGTGACTGGGTTACCTTGCTCAGGACTTTGGGAGCCCATTCCACACAGAGGGATATTCTTTTAGCCTAGACAAATGGGGGAGGGCCCAGGCCCTGTTCCAAATGATATGACAGACTTTGAAGATTCCCTATGGAAGGACTTACCCTCCCTAGGGAGCAAAGAGGAGATGGGACAGGGGGTAGATGGGGGATAGAGGTGGAGGGGAGGGAGAGGGAACTGGGATTGACATATAAAACAAGCTTGTTTCTAATTTAAATAAAAACCTGAGAAAAGCAATTCAATACCACTTCACAACAAAAGTTTTGTAGATCAGGGATAAAAGGATCATGTGTAAACACAGTGACGGCAATTTGCAGTAAGCCAGTACCCAGTATAAAATTAAATGTAGAGAAATTTAAAGCAATTTCAGTAAAATCAGGAACTAAACAAAGCTGTCCACTTGCTCTATATCTATTCAATATAGTAATTGAAGTTCTATCTGGAGTAATAAGACAACTGAAGGAGCTCAAGAGCATCAGCACTAAGAACTGTAATCAATAAAAGGGACCTCATGAAACTGAAATGCTTCTCTAAGGTAATGGACACCACCAATAGGACAAAACAGAATGGAAAAAGATTTTCACCAACTCCACATCTAACAGAGGGCTAATATCCAAATATATAAATAATTCAAGAAATAGACTTCAATAAAAATTTATCCAATTAAAAATGGAATACAGATCTAAACAGAGCATTTTCAATTGAGAAATCACAAATGGCTGAGAAACACTTAATGAAATATTCAACATCCTTAGCTATCCATGAGATTCAAATCGAAACAACTGTAAGGTTTCATCTATACCTGTCTGAATGGCTAAGATGAAAAACACAAGTGATAGTTCAGGCTGGACAGGATATGGAGCAGCATGGAGAACACTCCTCCTTTGCATTCCCTGGAGTGCAAACTTGAACAGAAACTTTGGGAATCAATATATTAGTTCTACAGAAAATTGGTAATTGGTCTAACAGAGACCCTGCTATACATGTTTTGGGCATATACCTAAAGGACACTCCATCCTACCACAAGGAAAAATGCTCAACTATGTTCATAACAGCTATATTACTAATAGCCAGAAATTAGAAATAAGCAATATGTAACTTAATGGAAGAATGGATAAAGAAACTGTGGTACATTTACAAAATGGGGTATTGCTCCCCTGTTAAAAACAATGACATGATTTTGCAGGCAAATGTATGGAACTAGAAAAAAAATCATTTGTGAGGTAACCCAGACACAGAAAATCAAAGATGGTATGTATTCACATATAAGTGGACATAAGCTGTTATATAAAGGATAATTATGCTATAATCCACAGACCAAGTGAAGCTAAGTAACAAGGTGTGCTCAATGGGGGTGGGTGGTGGTACATGACTCTCAGAGGGAAGGAAAATTAGAATAAATTTTGTGGGCAGACTTGGGGTTGGTGTAGATGGAAACAGAAGGGTCCATGCTGGACGGTGTTTGGATGGTTGGAGAGAGTACTTGGAGAGACAACTGGAATGCAAGAAACACTTGGGGGATAAAGTATAAACCTGGTGCACTGAAAGCTCCCTAGAATCTATGAGAGCGAATCTAGTGAAGTCTCCTATTAACGGGGTAACAGAGAGGGAGCCCACACCTGGGACTGTGTGAATGGCCAGGAACCAGAGGCTGGGTACCCCAGAGACCCAGGATAGAATGAAATACAATTGGAAAGCCAATGACATGATTCCTAATGGTATGATGCTATACTCATAGAAAAATTCATAGCCCAGTTGTCATCACAAAAGCATTGTCCAGAAACTGACAGCAGTGTCCCACAGTCAAACACTAAGCAAAGCTAAAGGAAACTTTAGAAGAGGGGGAAAGAGGATTCTAGGAACCAAAGGAGTCTGGGACATGATGAAAACATGAACCGCAGAATCAATTAAGCAGGGCTCATAGGGGCTCACACAGACTGAAGCTATATTGAAGACCCTTTATGGGTCTGAACGAGGTCTTCTGCATAGATACTATGGTTGTATACTTCGGTGTTCTTCTGGGACCCTGACAAGTGGAAGTGGGTGGTTTCTCTGATGCCTTTATGTATGATTGGGGACCTTTGCCTTGTTCAATATTTATATGAGCCCGTTTGCTTAGCCTATTGTAATTTGTTATGCCATATTTGATTGTCCTGCCTGCTTTATTTTTTTAAGAGAAAACGAGAAGGAATAGATCTAGGGGAGAGCAGAGGTGAAGGGGGGATTTGTAGGAGTGAAAGTTGTGGAACTTTGATCAGGATGTAGTATATGTAAAGAATAAATATAAATAAAATGTTTACAATTTAATTATGGCTTTTTAGCATTATCAGTGGTTGCTCATGAAAGTATTTTAGATTCTCCCCAAAATATTGTCTACATTTGCATTCTGCTCATCCACCATCCCTTTGTCATTTCCCTAAGTGAAAAAGCCACTCCCGAGTCCTTGAAGACTGAACTTTGTCCCTCTGCTTCTGAAGTCCACACTTAGCTTCATGCAATTTTGTCAATATCATACTATTAGTGTTCTCATATATGTAATTGAGAATGCTTTTCTTTATTGGAATCAATTTCCTTGTTATTACAAAGTCTTAAGTGTTACACATGACTTCACATACATATAGAATTGCTAATATTGTTCCTTCCCCTTCTCACTCTTAGACACCAACTATAGAATCCAGTGGTTGTTATAATGTAAAACTCAAATAACAGTGCTTAGTATATTCATCCCTGAGAAAGTCACATATCGGTGTTTTTATTTTTTCCAGTTTTCTTTTCATATTGTTAATAAAGTCACTCTAGAAATGATCTTTGCCCATTGTCCACTCAGACTCTCAGGCATGCTCCACTTCCACTTTCCAATGTAATAACCTCTGTCTGTTTTCTACACTAGAAAATAATGCAAATTAAACATTAGAATATTGTCTTAGAGTTCTTCATGTGTATCTTATTTTCTAAGCAAGAAAAGCCCAAACCACAGATGTTTGAAAAGGTGTCCTATGAATACCAAATATGTAATTGACATGTAATTAAATCCCATCACCCAATCTAAATTGTTAACCCTCTTTGTTCTTCCAAACCCTTGATTATTGTTTAAAATACTTTTGTAAGTGTAGAATACCTCTTACATTTACTATAACTACATGATAACCATTATAAAGTAAGTTCATTCTCCTACTTTTCCATTAAATTCTATTGCAGCTTTCTTACCTCCACCCCACCGCAGGCATCTTGCTAGGTCATTGCCAGTCCCAAGAGGCAGAATAGCAACTGGAGGGTGCTTGACTACATTGGCCTTTTCTGTGTAATTGGACAATGAAAATAAAGATGTGAAACCAAATTGACCAATAACAGCAAGGAAACAAACTTACATTGAATAAATAATTCCACAAAGTACATGTAAACAGCAACAAGTTGAATTTTTTAAAATGCTATTACAAATGACAATGTTTTTATGCAGTTGTGGTAGCTGGCATATTAGATAAATAGGTATCATATATCATTCTTCAGAAAGAAACATTCTTTATAATCTGTGCATGAGGAAAATGTTTTAAATATCTCAACAAAACTCAAAAGTATGTCGTGTGTGTGTGTGTGTGTGTGTGTGTGTGTGTGTGTGTGTGTTTCCTTCTCTTTAGTCTTTATTAAGACACAAGAAGGCAGGTACATAAAGCATAGGGATACCTGTAACAGGGAACATAGGTAGGGTACTATACATGCTTCTTCTGCAACATCAACTCTAGGGACACTCCATTTTCTTTGAGAACAGTAGAATTCTAAAAATAAATACTTAGTAATTCTGATCAATTGTTCCTACCCACAGCATTGCAAAATTTCAATGCAAATGAACAGAGCATTACTTTTGGATTACCTTGCAACATCAGGTTTGTTCGCCTATCATTTATTTAGCCTTGCATCATAGCTTGTGTTTGTCGGGGCTTTTGTCAATACCAGCAGCTAGTCCAGTGCATAACTGACACAGGGTTTGTGGATTGAGGAAAGGAAAGGCAGGAGACAGAGAGAGAGTCTGGAGGGCATCTGGTGAATACTGAATTGCCATGTTTATTGTGTGTAGTCTTTCTATAGCCCCATAAAGGGAGTGGGAGAAGGAAAAAGACTTTCTTAGAAAGATATGAAGAACAAGCAGGCATAACTACTTTCTCAGTATTCAAAATATCAAGTAACTATCTCCCGAGTTAAGTATTTTGTTGTTTAGGCAGGGCATGTGGACACCACAGTATTTACTGGATGCCTTCCCAACTCTATCTTTGTCTCCTGCCTATTTGTTTCCTGAATTTAAACCCCTCTCTCAGGTATGGACTGGACTAGCTGGCAGGACTGGCCAAAAGCCCTCACAAACATGAGCTACAACAGATGGTACCCCAAAGTGATCCTGAGCATGGCAAACAGAGGTAATGGACATCACAGATGAAAAAGTGAGTGGTAGGATATAAGTTAAATGAAATGCAGTGAGTTTATCTCTAGAGTAAAACATTTGTATATAAAAATATAGATAACTGTAGATAATGGTCATAATAATAATAGTCAACTGATTATTACTTGGTGTGGTCACTTCATGTACTGCCTAATCAATAAAATACTTAACTCAAGAGATAGTTATTGATGTCTGGGATATAAAGGCAATTAACTTACTTGTTCTTTATATCTTGGTAAAAAATTTCTTTTGCCTTCTCCCCTATTTTTTGATAGGGCATTAAAAGACTGTTAACAATAAATATGGGTGGTTCAGTATTCACTGGATGTGCTCCCTGTTCTATCTCTTGTCTCCTGTATATTCCTTTTCTTAATCCACACTCCCTTCTCTCAGGTACTAACCAGACAGGTCTGCTGGAACCGACTAACGCCCGAACAACACAGGCTACAGCAGCTTCACCTTTATGTCCCATAGTATTTTAGGTTCCAAGCAGTATAAATCTGTTACCACAATTCCATGTGCTTTCATTTGAATCATCATATAACTTGAGAGACTATCAGAGATATACATATTTTCTTTCCCTTTCCCTCCTAAGTTCAAAGTCAGCATGCAGTATGTATATGAATCAGTTGATGAGGTGACATGGATAAACACAGTGCAACACCACTGAATTTGGGGGATGCAATGAACCAAGAATTCCTAAAGTTTTCATTTTAAAATCCTTTCCAGTGTACAGCCACTTATAAATTTGTAAGTAATTTTATAATTCTTGAATTTTAGTTTTTTTCCATAGGAATAATTTATAAATATTTTCTATCACTTATTAGAGTTCCAACACCAGAATTTTCACTGACTATTTTCATGCAATATTAGTAGATTAAATTGATAGATTTAAAAGAAAAGTGTACTTTTTTTGAGTAACTGCAAATAGGCAACTGGAGGACTGGAGCAGAGCCTCCAGACTGGGACTAATGACTGCCACGCCCACCATGACATTTTCAATTTGAAACATTTTTTTTCAATGAGCAGCAAGACAGAATGTTCTGATATTTACTTCTTTAAAAGCAAAATGTGTGTATTTTATGGAGAGAACATAATTTGTTTGAATTAATATTTATTTGGAAAGGATCTGTAGCTAATAAAAATTACTCAATTCAAAGATTAAAATAAATTATAGAAAATATTTGTTTAAAATATATCAGCTTCTAAATATCAAGTTTTATACTATGAATATGTTCCAAAATGGGGCACATCTGAAAAGAAAAATGTAAAAATTTTCAGAATTCATCCATCTAGATACTTGATAGACTGAAAGATTGACAGATGACAGAAAACAAGCAGAAGGTATGGGTACTAGGCTCACTCAAGCCACATCAAACACATGTCTTCATTACCTATGCAATCCAAAATCCAGCCCACAGTCCCATCTCCACCGCATGCTAACACTCTGAAGTCAGGGACATCCCGGAAAAAGTGTAACCTGAAAAATAAGTATTTTATGGCACATAATTTACATTTCAGGAGAATATCTCATGGATTTTTATTCTTAGGTTTTTCTCTAGCAAATTATATTTTTAATTTATGAAAATTTTAAATATTTCATTGCTATCTTACATAGCATCCAAATACTTTTTGTTAATACATATTCCAGATTCTGTCCTTTAAAATTGTGTAAATCTACAATTTCCAGGTTCTATAGAGAATATAACTTACTTTTGTAAACAGCCAAATTAAAGATGTATAATATTAAATTATAACATTCATTTTGACATCTTCCCAGATGTAATCAAAACACACAAAATCCGGACCAGCAAATGTGATATAATTTCTTTAATGGGTTTCGTCAATCAGGCATTTTCTTTTTAAAAATTATTTAGAAATGATTATCATGTCGGTAAATATAATGTTTGCAACACTGTTCTTTCTCCATTACTGGGAGATATTGTTCAGCCTGAATTTAGGATTTTAGCTTTCAGAATTTCCTTATGACGTTCAGTCAGCCAATACAGAAGCTAAACTTCATTCTCCTTGTCTCTGACCTGGTCCTCAGATTCACAACCCAGGAGTGCTCATGCTTAATTGTTGGGTCAGCTTTGTTAAATGCCCACTGCTCCTGTCACCACTGCACGAAGTGAACTCATTAATAAAACCTACCAAAGGAAAGACCCAAGGGCAGCTAATGTATCCAGTTATGAAGTTCTACATGCTATTTTTGCAGCAAATAAAGCAGGGAAGCAGAACAGAGGCTGGAACAACACCTCCTCTTTGTTCTGCACATCAGCATTGGGAATAATATGGTGCAGAACCTTCAAAGTGATTTTTCTCTACATTGGGTATTCATATACAAATAGCCATCTACAAAGCTCCATTATGGATATTATATATTTTATTTACTTTAGAATTTTACTGAGAAAATTTCTCACTTGAGAAAGTGAGAGGGAGGGGGAGGAAGAAAGAGAGGGAGGAACAGAGCATGAGAGAGAAATGGGGCAGGGCAGTGCCTACATATATGAATGGCCATGGAGGCTAGGATAGCTTGGTGTACAGTTAGACACAATGCTAACAGCGTGATGTGGATGCTAGGAACCAAAGTATGGTCCCTCAGTAGAGCAGCAGGTACTCTTAAACCACTGAGCTATGCCTTCATGGTTACTGTGCTAATTGTAAACATCAGTGAGACCATACTATATTCATATTTCAAAAATATTTTACCTTAAAACATGACTGAAAGATCACTCTTTAGTCTCACTACCTGCAGATGTATACTATTCTTCATGGATTTAGTTATTTATAAAAGTCTTTATTGGTTCCATATGGAATGGTGCTCTGTGGTAGTTGTCACATTAGATGCAACATGAGTGAATGGATTCCAACATTAAATGATTTGCTTTTATGACCTTTTTTTTTTTGCAGATTTTTATTTGAGTTAGAAACAAGATTGTTTTGCACGACAATCCCAGTTCCCTCTCCCTCCCTCCTCCCCTACCACCCCCCAACTAAAATCTACCTGTCACATATCCTTTCTGCTCACCCTGGATGGTGAGGCCTTCCATAGGGTGTCATCAGAGTCTATTGTATCCTTTGGGATAGGTCCTAGGTCCACCCCCCATGTGTCTTGGCTCAGGGGGTATTCCTCTATATGGAATGGGCCCCCAGAGTCCACACCTATGCTAGGGATAAGTACTGAACTACTACAGGAGGTCCTGTAGATTTCCGAGGTTTCCTCACTGAAACCCATGTTCTTGGGGTCTGGATCAGTCCCATGCTGGTATCCCAGCTATCTGTCTGGGGATCAAGAGCTCCCGATGTTCAGGTCAGCTGTTTCTGTGGGTTTCACCAGCCTGGTCTGGACCCCTTTGCTCTTCACTCATCCTCTGCAACTGGATTCTAGTTCAGTTCAGTGATTAGTTATGGGTGTCTGCTTCTACTTCCACCAGCTTTCATGACCTTTGAAACTGTGTCTGGTATTTCATTATCAAGGACTGGAGAAGTGGCTAAGTAGGAAAATTACTTCCTTGGCATGTTTGAGGTATTAAGTTCAGTCCCCAGTAACATATATACTCAAAACCTGTTTATTCACTATTATAAAAATTATTATTCTAGTTACTATCTGAGTCACATATGTATGTGTGTGAAGGCTGTTTTAGTGCACAATATTCTGCTACATTTACTTTATTGTTCTTAATGTCTCCCAGAGTGGAATGAGTACTCAATTACTTGAAACCCTTGAATAGTAAGAACATTGGAATATTGGAACGTGGCTTCCAAGGGTTTAAACATCAGTTAATAGTGTGTGTGTTTGTGTGTGTGTGTGTGTGTGTGTGTGTGTGTGTGTGTGTGATATCTATTATCTCTGTTTAGAACATAGTTCAGCATTCCCATAAGAATATGGTGACATGTGAACTTTCCATGAATAGTAGTACCGAAACCTTGATAACCTCTTCAGTTGAGTATTAACATTATATGAACAATATTTATATATTATGAGTGATGTTTTACACTTAAATTGAATTCTTTTAAAGATATTTTTCAAAGCTATACAAGTAGTATCTAATTATATTAGAAACTGCATAAAATTCAACTGAACCCACCATCTGGTAATAAAATTATAGCTATTTAACATGGACATTTCACTCATTCCATTGGGTATTTGAGTATATTTACTTCCTGGTGTATATGTTGCAAATATTTTCTTCCCTTCTTTCATCACTTGATATGCCTTCAGTATGCACATATGAAAAATGCCTTGGTGCCAATCTCCCACTTTGGCAGAACACCCCTGACAACCTGTGTATGCTTCTGTCCTTTTTCATGCAACAGTTCTTCCTTGCTCACACAGGTCTGTTCATCTGTGCACTGGGATGCTGTGTTTATGTTTAGTTAGCATTCTGCATCATTCCCCCCCGCACTAGTACTAACACTGTTGCTCTAGACATTTCTATGTGTAACAGTTTACTGTTTCTTCTTTACTTCTGAGAACATGTGATATTCCAATTACTTTATTCTTTTCAAATCCATTTCAAGATGCACTTGGGCTGGTAGATTCATCTTGTTACAGAGATGCTTTTTTTTGTATGTGCTTTCTACTATTACAGGCAGTGTTTACTTGGAGAGTATAATAATATTCGACACTACAAGACAATGCAATTGACTTTAGAAAGACATCCAACAGATGTTCAAACAAATGCAGTCCACTTAGTCCATTCCAATATTTTGGTTATTTATTTTTTAATGCCTTAAAAAGAAAAATTTCAATTAATCTCTATTCCTTTAATTCTTGTTAAAATTGCTTAATGTGTCCTGATTTTAATCATTTAGTTTGTTTTTTGCAGAAATCTTTTATGAATAATTTTTACTCAAATATCCCTTGATATGGATTTCAATGAAAATTAAATCAATTATAATGTATTCAACTGTACAAGTCTCTTGATAAATAGGACTTGTATAAGGGAATATTCCTTTTTATGATAAGAAAGGAATTCTCAGATTGTTCCCTTTCACTTTATCTTCTTTCTGCCTTTGTGTTAGTCTAGCAAGTTTTGTTATTCATTTTTATTCATTTTCACATTTATTAAATAACTGTTTCCACCCAGACAACTGCAATTAAAACCTAGTTTGAAAGCATGAGAACGATTCATTACATCCTGCCCTTTATTGGAGTTATCCATCTTTGCCTCAGTACAGTTCTCTTCCAATCACTTTTGATTTTAGGAAGTGTATATGTCAAAGGACATGAAGAAACTGGGCTTAAATTGTTTGTTTTAAAAATATGCTTTTAAAGTAAACTGATATTTTGCAAAAATAAAAATAAGAAAGTTCAATTTATGTTAACAATATACAACTAGCTATAAGTATGATGAAATTCCTATTATTTGAATGCAAGATACTGGATACACTTAATTATTACTTAATATTTCTAAATAAAATTTATTTTTTCTGAATACAAATATTAAACATTACATACATTTTATGTCTGTTCATATGATAGTTTTATTTGCATTTCAAAGAGATTTTAAGTCTACTGATACAAATGTTATTTGTTGCTGGGAAATAATTTGAGTATTATACATTGTTTATGAAGACAGTCATACTAATATTTTAGTCTATATTTTGTGTATATGATTTTTCTACATACTAATTAAAATAGCATTAGTTATTTCAATGTTATAATAGATCTGCTTCTCTTTTCATTTTCCTTGCTACAGTTCTAATATCTAGCCAAATGTGAATATTCATACAGATTAATCATATTTTGTTCTTTGTCTTGAATGGGATAATTCTATTGTGTTTCCAATTCAAATGATATATGCTTGGCAAAATTCCCTTTTCTGTTCCATTTTTTACATCAAACTCCAGGAGGTCAATAAAATGAGTTTCTATTCCTGTAATAGGATTTTCACTATGAATAAGTACTTTTGGAGATCCTGTTAAGATTTCTCTAGTTTAACTTGTTAGCATAAAAATGTACATTCGCATATGCCTGCTTTATGAAACCATTCTTGCAATATTTTCCTTCATCCCACTGGCAAATATATATTTACATCACTGTAGAAAAGTAAGATTTGTCTTGCTAACTTCCGTAATGACATTCAGGAACATAAGAGACCTAATTTTTCTTCACCTTATCAATTAAATTTTTTACCAAATTTATATTTTTAAACAAGATAAAAGTGTTAGAATGCACTATAATTTCTTTCACTTTTGATAAATGTACACTTTTTGTAAATTATTGAATCTGCTAATATTTGTATAAAATAATTTCTGGTAATTCCTTTTAAATTGAGGGTTCTAAATGATGCTTCAAATCCTTTAATAGTTATTGAAATATTGTTAAATATAAATAATATTGAAAATATGTCGTTTGCAATTTTTCCCAACCCTGACTTTTCCATTTATGATTCTGTAGTGCATCATGGTCCTCAGCTATATTTCTGCACACATTGGCACTGGAGGCTGAGGAAGCTTTCAAACATGGCAGCA